CCGTACAATCCGTACAATTTGAAAACAAATCCGTACAATCCGTACAATTTTAGGGTTAAAAAAAAATCAATCCGTACAATCCGTACATTTTGGCCACCCTGAATATAGTTTAATCTGTTCAATTATATTTTTTGTTTATTTACTGCAAAACAAAGTTGACATTCAAATATCATTATTAATAAATGAAACCCAAAAACTTTTCAAAATCAATCTCAAAAGGATCTTTTGATTGTGAGAAAAACATTTTTCTCTTTATAAAGAAACTCAAAAAAAGTCAACTATGAACTATTTGTGAAAATTTTAGTTGGAAAAGATAAAAGATTCCAGCACTACTGAAGGAAAATGATCTAATTTGTATTAGGGGAACCAGAATATTGGTGAGAGTAGTGTACTGCAGTATTGTCTGTATCTTATTAGTATTCAGTACATCTAGATATACAGTAATAATTAATGCAGTTAAGGTACCTTTTATATAAGGTTTAGTAGGTTATGCTGTATCAATTAAGAAGAATAAGAAAACACATTTATTATTGCAAGGGCAGAATATTAAAGGGACAGTAGGAATTATTTCAATTATGAACCTTCATTTGTAGACTAGAGTGACCAATTAACAACACAACTCTTTAAACTGTGAACTGTTCAAGAATGACAGACTTAAACTTAGGTTATTACCGAAGTTGTTGAACACTTTGATTGCAATCTGTTTCAAATTTTTGAAGCCGAGTTAGACATTCAGGATTTTCATGAGTATGTAAAATTAGTTGCATTGAGTTCAAACTGTACTTTATTATTAAGTGTCGTAGAATTTGCTGATTTCAGTTTTAATTTAAATACAGGGTCTCAATTTTTCACTGAATTTTACAGTTGTTATATATATGTCTTCCCCCTTTTTTTTGAATGAACTACCTCCACATGTAGGAATGCTAATAAGTGATACAGAGAAAATGTTTAAAAGAGTAACTTAAACCAAGTTTGTCTAATTGAACAATTTTTCTCCGAAATAAATATATGTTTTAACCAGAATTTTTAACATGTTCCATTAAATTAATTCTATTAAATAGTAAATAATAATAATAACTAAAAGGACCTAAATGAGTTTGAATAAAATACCTGTTAGTTCCTACATCCAGGGTTATTGGTAAACATTGTTGAGGAGGAATACCAGCTAGTGCAGTATATAAGGCTAGCTTACCTACAGGTATACCCATACCCTGGGCTCCTAGATCACCCAAACCTGAACAAAGGATAGCTTCTGTACAGAAGATAAAGAGGATATTTCATATAAATTTTCTAGATTCTTCCATGAAACATTATTCTGATATTTAAACTTAACATTAATGATTAATGTAAACAAAAATGTTAAGGGTGTAAACCATGAATTTCTCATTCGTAATTACATCAAATAAAAGCTACAAATATATTATCTTTACAGTGTGCAGTAAGATGAAAGAAAACTTGGAGAGATCTACAAACATTCTTTATTTATTTTTATACAATTTATCTAATCTTTTACCATTTAGAAATTGAGTAGAAATTTAATTTTTGAAAAGAGAGGAATCTTAAAACCTTTATACGAAAAGACAAATTACGGTTCTAATAGTAATTTCAGAATTATCTAGAGTTTAGAAGAATGAGAAAGAGGGTTAATTTTTCAATTTCCTTTAAATAAAATTTAGGAGAAAATTCCAGGAATTCTTAATTTTCAAATTGTTCTCTTTGTGATGAGGGCTTCAGGGTACTTGATTGGAGAATGAATAAAAAGAACCTATAAATTTTGCCATAGGATGTTACATTTCTAAATACAATTTTTTTCAGTTTTCAATCTCAGTCTTAACCCAAACTTAATCAACTATGAACCATTTTACCACCATTTTACCGCCTTATGACGAACATTACCATCCTAGTAAGTTACTTTACATCCCTTAGGACAATTGAGTGAGACCTGCTCTGCGCCATTTTTGTTAAATTTCCTATGACAATAAAATAATAAAATTGTGTACAACTACTTTTGCTGGAATTTTAAAATTTTACTTAACCAGAACCACAACAAATTGGTCATGAGAACCTTTGTTAATGTATAATTCCCATTCTTACCTGTGGAGAAGTTTTAAATAATTGCATTGCCTTAGGTTGCTTCTTATTATGCGGACAACACTGTACATATATCCTGGGCCCAACCTAAACTAACAAACAGTACATACCTAGGATTCTCTCACCATCAGTAACCACAATTGCTCTGACATCAGACTCAGGCCAATTCTTGATAACATCCTTGACATGTCCCTTGTCGTGGATTGTTATGAACAGTCCCTTAATGAATACATTTATAAATGTAAGGCACAATCCTATTTATTTTCTGTACCATTAAATCCTTTTTGTTTTTACTTATTTTGATATTTATATATTCCAGTCTACAAAGACATAAATAAATTGGTCCAATCTGAGCATGAATATTTGAGATTCTGAAACATATTTGATCTTGAATAAAATGATAAATGTAAAATCTAAATGTTTCTCTAGGGTTTCATACAACCGTGCCCAGTACAGAGTTTAAACATTTTTAGGAGAAAAATTTAAGATGAGAAAGGGAAGAGATATTTAAAGAACAGCTCAATACCTCCTCCCCCCACTCGTAACTCTGAGGAGAGGGGAGTAATGAAAACATACTTTTCTATGAAAAGAACAAGAAGAAATTTGCATAAAACAACAAAAAAAATTCTGAGGTTAAGGGAAGGTAAAAAAATATACACATCTGCCCCCCGCCTAAATTCCTGAAGAGTTAAAAGTAATAAAAATAAACATCCCTTTTCCAATAGTGAGAGAGAGGGAGAGAAAAATAAAAATTAACACCTCTGTTATAGTTTAAAATAGTTATACAAACATGTATATGCCTACAAGGGTATATAAGACATCAGAAATACCAAAAAATGCTCTAACTTTTTAATAAATACCCCACCCCCCCCCAAAAAAAAAAAAAAATCATTTTTTCCCCCAATTCATTGAAGTTGATAATTTTAAACAGAAAAAATATTAAATAATTATAATATCTCGTTTTTTGTTGCTAGAAATTGAAAGTGCTTTAAACCCTGAAAGGGTTGTTGGACACAAGAGGATTAAGTCTGAGGTAGAGAGGGGACTATAGTGCATAAAAAAGATTAAAGAATTTTCAAATTTTTTAAATATTTGTCACAACAAAATTACTGATATCTCTGCAAACATAAATTACTGCACTAGATATTCATCATTTTAACCTTTACCCGAGTAACAATGAATTAAAGCTTATTATTACATTTAAGACTCATGTTAATCTTGACAAATTCTAGAGTGTGCTTCTAAAAAAAGGTGTTAAATGTATCTCATTAACTCTCATACGACATTGCTCAAGTGTATGGCTACTTAAAGCTATAAAATGTGTACTCAACTCAGATATTTTATTTGGGTAAAATGCCCAGCCCTACTATAGAGAGAGAGCTCAAGGTTCTAATCAAATCCTATTCCCAGTTCTGTCTTTAGCTATAAGTTTAAATTGTTCACTGAAACATTATATCTATATGCAAGGATAAAGGGAAGGAACACTAGTATATATATACAAGGATAAAGGGAAGGAACACTAGTATATCTATATACTAGGATAAAGGGAAGGAACACTAGTATATCTATACAAGGATAAAGGGAAGGAACACTAGTATATCTATATACTAGGATAAAGGGAAGGAACACTAGTATATCTATACAAGGATAAAGGGATGGAACACTAGTATATCTATACTAGGATAAAGGGAAGGAAACACTAGTATATCTATACAAGGATAAAGGGAAGGAACACTAGTATATATATACAAGGATAAAGGGAAGGAACACTAGTATATCTATACCAGGATAAAGGGAAGGAACACTAGTATATATATATACAAGGATAAAGGGAAGGAACACTAGTATATCTATACAAGGATAAAGGGAAGGAACACTAGTATATATATACAAGGATAAAGGGAAGGAACACTAGTATATCTTTACTAGGATAAAGGGAAGGAACACTAGTATATCTATACTAGGATAAAGGGAAGGAACACTAGTATATCTATACAAGGATAAAGGGAAGGAACACTAGTATATCTATACTAGGATAACAAGATATATTTTTGCTGAATAACCTTTAGATAACTAAAAATTAAAGTACACTATCGTAGAGATGAAATTAATTAAAAATCTATAACTTTTATAAGCAGCATTTATGAAGTTTTCTCAATCTCCGATTCAAAGCAATACCTCTTAAATTGAAACCTATGATCATTTATGAATGAAAAGTCAGGGTTTTCCTCTCCGTAAATGGATTATTTTAAATCATGGTTGTTGGTTACTCTTTAAAGGGGATTTGCAGATTTATGCAATAGACAATTGTTAGAATTTTCAAGATTTAAGAACGAAGATATCTTCCTTAATAGTTACTCCGATAACATTTGAAACAATATAATTACCATTGGACGCTTGAAGGCCAGACCAAATTTCTGGCAGGCTAGACCAACTGTAGGAGTATACACTACTGGCATCAACTCCTCAATATTCTCACTAAATAATTCACATACTTAACCAAACCAAACAAAAAAGTTATTAATTAAAATCAAAATAAAAGGTAAATCTCTTTTTTTTTAACTTTAAATGCTCTATCTATTCAACCTTATGCTATCTCAAAATAAATCTTGATGTTAATATTTAAAGTGAATAACCGGCAATGTATGGTAGTTAAACTAAGTAATATGAAGTGTTGGAGAACATTTTTAGGATTCATTTGAGACATATAAAACGTTTTAATGATGTTATAATTACTGAGTGTGAGCGCAAAGTCGACGTTCAAAATAAACCATTTGGGTTGGTTACGTTTTGAGAATTGATTTTTTAAAATTATTAAATAAAGACGACAAAAAATGTAAACAAATTCTACAGTAAGCTAATTAGAAGTTTAGGAACATATAGAATCATATCTCTATTATCTTAATTAAATTTCTTATTCATTATGAATTTTCTCGCCGATTTCTTCAAATTCTACAGAAAATCCTTTGTGAACAATGAGACATTACAGAAATTAATAACAGAATAAGATTACTTATTTTCGATGACAATAGTTAATTTCTATTTTCTCAACCTGCTCCTAAACAACTTATTAGTTTACTGTAGAGTTTTTACTACATTTTTCTGAGGATTTTAAAGATTGAATTTGCGCTCTTGCAAAAGAAATATGAACCGTAAAAACGTCTCATAGGTCTCAAATAATTCCTAACAAATTTCTCCGCAATACAATATTCTCAGTTTAATTACCATACATTGCCGGTCACTCCCTTTAAAATAATTTACTATTTTTTTTAATTAACAAAGGTGACCAAGTTGTATTAATGTTGCTCATATTCTGTGTAAGTATGTTAGTATGTGGTACCTAAGAAGCTTGTAGAACAATCTCTCATTCCTCTCCAGCAAGTCCACCAGGTACATGTACTGGTTCAAGGGGTCCTACAATATACATTTACTGGATCAAGGGGTCCTACAATATACATATACAGGTTCAAGGAGTCCTTAAATATATTATACTGGTTCAAGGGGTCCAAAAATATACATTTACTGGTTCAAGGGGTCCTACAATATACATTTACTAGATCAAGGGGTCCTAAAATATACATATACTGGTTCAATGGGTCCTAAAATATACGTATACTGGTTCAATGGGTTCTAAACTATACGTATACTGGTTCAATGGGTCCTAAAATATACTTATACTGGTTCAATGGGTCCTAAAATATACGTTTAATGCTTCAATGTGTCCAAAAATATTTATACTGGTTCAATGGGTCCTACAATATATTATACTGATTCAAGGGGTCCTACAATATATTATACTGGTTCAAGGGGTCCTACAATATATTGAACTGGTTCAAGGGGTCCTACAATATATTGAACTGGTTCAATGGGTCCTACAATATATTATACTGGTTCAAGGGGTCCTACAATATATTATACTGGTTCAAGGGGTCCTACAATATATTGAACTGGTTCAAGGGGTCCTACAATATATTGAACTGGTTCAAGGGGTCCTACAATATATTGAACTGGTTTAAGGGGTCCTACAATATATTGAACTGGTTTAAGGGGTCCTACAATATATTGAACTGGTTTAAGGGGTCCTACAATATATTGAACTGGTTTAAGGGGTCCTACAATAAACATGTGATCAAGTTTATAACTAAAATAATTAATGTTAGATTTAAATAAAATACGCCATTTTTCTTTAAATATTATAAAAACAAAAAAATCTCATTCACATCACTCTTTCTGATTAGAAATAATCTAAAAACTAAAAGAATTACATAACTCTTTCTAATTAGATATAATCTAAAAACTAAAAGAATTACAGAAATATTCATAATTATTGCGAATTTTCCTTAATTTAATAGATAATATACCTGGAACCTTCTCATGTTACGCAGACTGTTATCCGCCTGCTCATCCATATTCTTTATCCTAAATACAAATATTTATTCATTAAAATTTCAGCATTTAATTAAAAAATATTCATTGATTTGACTCTTCTTCGAATTCATTAATATTCAACCCTAAAATTCATCTAGACTCTACAATGAAGTAATATTCTAGCCAGTTTCTGAGCACATTTTTTGCAATTTATTGATTATTCAAAACATTGAATTAGATTCTAAGAATTCTATACAAATTTTAACCCGAGTTTATCCATTACCCTCTCAACATGTAATGCACTAAATAAAAAATCACCAATCCGCCCCCCCCCATCCCCCAAAACATGGTTTAATTGCACACGATATTTAAAATACTGTAATTGCTTACAGACAAACTTCTGAAAATCATAATCATAAAATTAAACATTTTAAAAAAAAGAAATATCCATACATATTAGAATTGCGTAAAACATGAAAACTAAAGAATGAAGAGTTTATATTGCAATGTTTAATTAGAATTTAATGAGCTCTTCTGAGAGTATATTAACACAATGCATTGTATTAATACCAAGATTTAGATTGCATAAGGAAACTCAATATATCTTATATCAATTAAAAGTAGTTTGTGTCTTGTGAAATTATCTTAATAAAACCAGTTTAAATAATATGATTAAAAAGCTTTTCTGCCAAATTTCTTGAATATCTTGGTTAAGGGTCCTATCCAGATTAGAAAACTCAGATTCAGATAATGAATCCAAATCACATTAGCCTGCATAGCAGGAGTCAATGTTTTAACCTACCTGGGGAGTAGGAGTTAATTTTAGCCTTATACCTTTCTTGGATCCTCAACATTTTTGCTTGCAAAAATTTGCGGATCCACGGTTCTGGATAAAATGGGCAAAATCTCAATCAAAAACTATTAAAAAAACAAACATTTTGCTCCCAAACCCAAATCTGAACTTTAAAAAAGAGAGATTATTAAAATTTTTCTCATCTCTGGATGGTTCATCAGAAATATAAGCGAAAAAAAAGAAAAAATGTAAATCATACTTTTTTTCTCAAAAATTCAGAAAATCTTTTAAGAAATGTTCATAACCTGGATCCGGATCCAGTGTATCCAGGGTCCGGATCCAGTGTATCCAGGGTCCGGATCCAGTGGATCCAGTGTATCCAGGGTTCGGATCTTGTGTATCCAGGGTCCGGATCCAGTGGATCCAGTGTATCCAGGGTCCGGATCCAGTGGATCCAGTGTATCCAGGGTCCGGATCCAGTGTATCCAGGGTCCGGATCCAGTGTATCCAGGGTCCGGATCCAGTGTATCCAGGGTATCGGATACGCTTTAAAATGAAATGAATCCTAAGCACTGCTTATGAGTCCATATATCAACCTAAAGGGGGGGGGGGTAGGGGTTCAAATATCAACCTCCAGTACCTGGGAGGTAGAAGTCCATGAATACCCAGAGTTTGTCTCTCCTCGAGGGTAAAAGCCATTCCTTTGAAAAGATGAGGATCCCGTAGATAATCAACTCCAGCAACCTAGGTATATAAATATATAAATGTACATATTACGGGAAATTTATCAAATTAAAACTTTTTTTTCGCTTATTTTCTTCCTTAAAGCGAGTGTTCGCGACAAATGACAAAGGGTACCTAAGAATTATATTTTTTAAATCAAGAATCGAACTAATTTCTGGTTTTTTTCACACTTATTCCTGTAAACCATTAATATTTCAACAAAAATTCAAAGGGCATACTGTAAATAAGAAAAGAGAGGTTAACTAATTATAACAACCTTAAATTAGTTTACAATCTCTTTAAGAAGTATTAGTTAGAATCTTAATTGAAATTCTAGTATTTAATCAAATAGATTACACATTGCTTTGATCATTTATCCTTTTAGATAGAGAAACTAAATAAATATCCATAAAGAAATCTATTCATATTTTTCATTTAATCACTGTATAGTGAATACGGTGAACATCTAACGTAAAAAAATGTGAAATTTTGTTGTTTAAAAGCCTTAAAGTTAAGACTATTCAAAAAATATCTACACATGCTCATTGACTGAGAAATAAAAGTGTTCAAAACGTCATTTTTTATCACAAGTTTTAAAACTATTTTAAGACTTTAAATCATATGGTTTGAACATATTCCGATAATTTTGAAGATAATAAGTCATTTTTTCCTTTAAGGGGGGAGGGGGGGTTAGTGTTACTTTTTACAAAAAAATATCTAAGTATAGGGTGTCCCACGAAAAATGATAGTTTTTAATGTTTTCTTAAATACTTTGTTAAGATCTTTGATACCACAGAGAATTATAAAAAGTATCACATGGAAGTCAATAGCACACAAAAACTTTATTTTAAAGTAAGATATCTTTGAGTAATGTTAAAGAAAAAACTTCAAGAAGTTATTTATATCTATTAAGTATATGGAAAAAGACTTTCAAAACTGTTCACCAACTGTCCTGTGGAACACACTGTTCCTGTACAATAACTGCAAGTTTGTGTCAAATTAGAAAAGATTTGACATCAAAATATTTAAGAATTTCTTTTTCTTGATGTAAAATCGAAGTATAAATTTGAAAACTAAACATATCTAATACTTCTTTAATATTTAAAAGGTTCTTTTGTTTATTTATAAAATAGTCTAAGACCAATGTTCTTCACATTTCTGTTAACAGTTACACCTAGTTTAAAGGCTAGGTGTTTTTAATGACAATCTAAATTTTTCTTCAATTTCTTAGACCTGAGACCAGATTTAATGAGTATCGCGACATTGTTAAACCACTTCTCTTCAGCTTAACCGGCAATGAAGAGAAGCGATTCAACTTAGTCTACGCAGTTCACATATTCCTCGCTATCCAAAAAATATATGCATAGTTTGACAAAATTCTGTTACGATATTTTTTTACCTGGTTTGGCACAACATCACTAACAGAGCCACCACTCTTTCCACGTCTTGAAGGAGAAAACATCGTTGATCTGGATCCTAAATATTTAAGGGTTGGATAGATAGATAGCTATTAGATCCTGAAAATGTAGGTTAGAGTCAAAAAAGAATTTAAGAAGAGTGTTAAAACAATTATAAAGAATGTAAAGAAATTAAATAACTTGCCTTTAAAAAAATAAAAACAAAAGGTTGGAATTGATTGAACTAGTTTTAGTGGATTTTATGAAAATTTCTCGAGGATTTTGGAGGAGACAAGACTTAAGAAGAGAACTTTAAGATTAAATGAAACTTAATCAACTAAAAGTTAAAGCCATAACTCTCAATTTCAAGTTTGATGCAATCAAATAATCCTTACTTTACAGTTTGACAAAAACTTCTGAAGTTTCATTGCTCCACTTCTAAATTTTATTTGATCCAGACAAGAGAAAAATTCAATTACAGGGAGAAATAAAACCGGTTTGAATCAGTTTGCTTTAAATGGGAATTAATACTGATTAACTGATATTCAATGCTCAAGGGGAAGGGGAAAAAATTGACAAAAAAAGCAAATTTTTCTTAATTTAAAGATACTTTTTATTTATTTATTTTATTTTCCCAATTCAGAAATCCTAATTTATTTTCTTTTCAAAAGAAGAAGGGGTGGGGGGGGGGGGGGAGGGAAATTTACAAGAAATATATATACCACACTAAAATAAAAAAAAAACATTACATGGCATATTGGCATAACACTTTCTCTCAATAATCAAATTATCGATTGGTGCGCAATATCATATGCTGAGGATCACGCTGTATATAATCACATTAGGAATTACTTTGATAGATTGAAACACAATATCTTCTCTCCTCTAATATATTTAATCCTCTTCTAAAACAGAGCATAATCATCTGAAGAATTCTTCAGATAACTTTACGAAAACATCCCAAGTGTCGATGAGAATTAACCCTTTTAAAGCAAATAAATTGATTCTTTGACACAAACTCTAATTTTCTAATCTTTTTGCAACCCAATGTCGTACATCTTGTATTTCCAACTATGGATCGAATAAAGGTAAAGCGATTAGTTTGAGTTTGCTGGGCAAGACTCAATTACTTCCTTAAGAATAAAAAGATTATTATTGTATACAACATAATTGTTAAAAAATTAACTTTTCTTATAACATTCATGACTCTTTTAGCTATCTTTTTTAAATGACATTTTTTTTACTTCAGTTAAAGATGACTTATCCATAAAAAGATTTACTTATAGTTTTTATTCACAAGAAAGTTTTCAGTATGTACTTGATTTTGTAACGATTCACTGTTAAGTGTAGAATATAAATCCCTGTTTATGCTAATGCACTGTGTAACTAACACCATGTATTGTGATTAATCAGCGAGAGAGAAAGAGCGAGAGCTACAACATTAAAATACTTTTCACCCAAATATCAACTCCACAATCTGATAACAAAAACGAAACCAATATCAAAATTGGAAATTTCCATTAGAAAATATAAGGACAAGCGAACACGGCTCAAAACTTTCAAACTAAATACGAGTTACATGTTTTGTGTACACTGTACATACAGTGTTCACACTTTCATTAATGTAATATTTGTTAAAGTACAGTGTACACAGAGCCCGTAACTATAGACAGAGCCCAAAACTTAAGACATGGTTCGTTATGAAAAACAACATTGAAACCCGGGTTTCACGAATGGGGTTAGGCAGTTTTGTGAATATTAATATTTTTTTTAATAAATATTATGTTATTCTGTTTCTTCATAGTCTCCATACATAGTTTTCGAATCTCTTAAAATCAAAATCTACACAAATGTTAAGACCCCATAAAGGAAACTCGAGAGTTTCGTTCAGCGATACTTTTTTAAATTTCGGGCTCAGGGTAGCGTCATAAAATTTGGTCCCGACCTTGAGTACTATTCAATTTCTTCGATACTCCAATCAAAACAATAAAACTAGAAGTGCATTTTCAGAAAAATATCATGAAAATTACTGCTAATAAGTTTAATTTAAAGTAAAACTTCTTGAAATTTAATCTTTCATATTAAAACACCCATCCCAGTTTGGAATCAGTCTTTGTTCAGTACATTGTACTTTAAACAAAAAAGATTGATCTTTGGTATTTAGCAAGGTACTAATGCAAGGAAAGTTAATTGCGGTCGCGTAACTCTGCGTACATATTGAAACCAATTCTCTCTGGGCGGACTTTGTAAACAAGAATAGATGCATCAGTTTTAGTTTAGTATCCGAGGAGGTTAAAAGCATTTGATTTTGATAATTATAATAATACACATATTCCTATGACCAGAATATTTCAAAGATTATTTTTGTGAAAATGGAGTCCATGTCAGACTGTGAAATCCGTCTTGTGTTTACTTTTCCGCCCAAAGACAGTACACTGCAGTACACATCTGATAGAACTTTCCTTGCACCTTGGTATTCAGTAGCTGTACGTGTCGTTGTATTTTCAAGAAATCTTCTATTTAAGAAGAGGTATACACAATTAACAACGGTACCCTTTAAACCTTTATCTTATCAAACATGAAGAAGACATCGCCTTTTTCTATTTAAAAAACTGACAATTTCCTCCATTGTTTCTGCCAAAGAAATCGTCAAAATACTTTTTAAAAGAACCCACATTTGATTTACATTAAACATTTTGATCCTTTTGATTCTTTATCAGTGACCGTTCCTTCCATAAACTACATTGGTAGACAACTTGACGTCTCCTATATTGGTCGTCAAATGTACGGAGAAATATCTTTCTATCAGATAAGAACTTAGCGCGAGACATTTAGCGACCAACATATCGTCCGTCAAAGTACGTGAACTACACGACCACTCTCTATGGAAAGAATGGGCTCTGACAAAGGTTTTAAATTTTTAAATATCAAATTGGAGATTATTTAGAAAGTACGCCTTAAGCCCCTTTAAGCAAGTATCTCGACTGATTAACGTAAATATTGGATAACTGTTGACCTTCTTAAATCACGCTTCAGCATTTACTGAAAGCATGCGCACACTAATTATCAAATATTTCTAATATTAATTGTTTACATTTGCAGTACGATTTATCTAAAGGTTGTAACCAAGGAGTATGGAATATGATTGGGAGAAGAAATCGACCCGGCCCGCACTACCATTTGATTGTACATGCTTTGCAGCAAAAATATCAAAATATCAAATGCCAAATGATAAAATTATGGAGTACAAGCGCAGTACGCTTCAATTAGGCCTAGAAGCTGGAAATGTAAATAAATAAGAGAAAAATCATCACAACGGATCGTACTGCATTGTTCATCTCAAAACCGGTTAAATGTCGACAACAAAGAGAAAACAAAGAGGAGACGATAAGAGATAAGGGAAGAGAAGATAAGAGATAAGGGAAGGGAAGATAAGGGGAGGGAAGATAAGGGGAGGGAAGATAAGAGATAAGGGAAGGGAAGATAAGGGGAGGGAAGATAAGAGATAAGGGGAGGGAGGATAAGAGATAAGGGAAGGGAAGATAAGGGGAGTGAAGATNAGAACAGAAGAGTAGAGAAGAGAAGAAAAGAGATAAGAGAACAGAAGAGTAAAGAAGAGAAGAAAGAGATAAGAGAACAGAAGAGTAGAAAAGAGAAGAAAAGAAAAAATAGAAGAAAAAAGAAGAAAAGAGAAGAGAAGAAAAAAGAAGAGAAGAAAGGAGAAGAGAAGAAAATAGAAGAGTAGGAAATAAAAGAGAAGAGAAAGAAGCAAAAAATAGATTGTGTGAAAGAGAGAGCTTGCATTTTACAGACGTTTTATCATAAAAATATGCCTAAGAATACCTTAAACTTTACTAGTAACTTTGTAAAACTGTATGATAATTTTGAAGAAAAAAATAGTTGTCCTAACTGTTTAGCGTACAATTTTTTTTATCATTTAAAGATTGTACTTCATTTAGAAAAACAATTTAAAGGTCGTCTTTTAATTTTAAAGTGGGTTTTTACTTTAATTCACCATATTTAATAAAACCGATTGTTATATCATAAAAAATACGTTTGTAATGTCAATACGTTTGCATCCCAAAATAAGGTGTTTGTTAGACGTTATTCAGCATTTCCCTGTTTAAAGTTTGAGAAAACCATAGAGAATAGAATATATATTAGAGGGGAATTTACTAGAAAAAAGTGTAAAACGGCCATTTTGTTGTACTGTTTCCATACTTTTAACCTATTCCAATAA